TTTTTTTTCCGCCTCCCAATTTCCTCGGGGAAAAAAAAAACAACAACAACAAAAAAGCCGTTTTGGCTCTTCCTCCTCCTCCGCTTCCTCCCGTCATCTGCCCTCCTGCCTCCCCGGAGCGGGAGGGAGGGAAAAGCCGCGGAGGGAAAACACCCCCGGAGCGGCCGCGATGCCGCCCGGGCCGGGAACCGGGGCCGGAGGGCGACGTCCCGCTCCGCCGCGGGCGCGGTGATGGCGCCCGTTGTTCGGGCCGCCCCGGGCCTGCCCGTTTGCCCTCGGCAAGTGCATCGCCTCGCCGTTCCCTGCTGCCGCCCGAACCGCGCTGCTTGCACGAAGTCGTCGCCCCGAAACGTCTTTTGCAATGGGAATAGCGCGTTTAATCCCGCTGTGCACATCCCCATTGCACCGCTCTGCCCTCGGCTTCAAATTGCTCGGAATCCTCCGGCAGGATTGGAGCCAGGATAGGGCTGGGAAGGGCTGGCAGTGCCCAGAACAGGCTGAGTTGATTTGATCTAAAATCCCTGCCTTTTTATTTTTCCATAGCCGGCATGAAGCCACTTGCCGCGCGGATTTACTGATCTCCAGCAAAATGACAATAAACCCCCCCTTTTTTGCCAGCATTTTGCTTTGCACAGAGCCAACCTGTTATCCTCTAGATAATACATTTGTCTCGGTTGCAGTTTCCTTTGCAGCAGGAAAAGAAAAAAAAAGTCCATCCGGGCTTTGCCTAATTCCAGGACTTTGGTGGGAGTTGGAGCGCGTCCCCTGGGAGCGCTCGGAGTCGCTTCAGGGCCGAGCTGCAATCGCGACGCGTTGCTAAAGAAGGTCAGAGGGAGCGCAATCCCGTGAACTCCACAAGGATGCGTTTTCCAAAGGGCTCCTCCGCTTTTCCCTCGGAACCGAGGGCTCGGAGGGGCCTCAAGCTGCAGGGCTAAGCACGGAGCAGCCCAGGGGAAATGCAACAGCACAACATAAAAAAAACCAGATCCGGTGCTGCCGGCGCAGGGTTGTTTTTAAGCTCGGATCCGGAACGTCGTAAGCCGGTTGTTTTGTCCTCGTTCCCACCTCGCCCCGGTGTGACCGCGCGGAGGCAGGAGCCGGTTTCGCTTTCTGCTCCTCGTGCTGTTTCGCGGCTTGGACCTTTCCCCCCGCGCTGGCACCAGCGTTTTGAGGCGAGAAACTGCTGGTTCGATGGAGACGGGCGTGCGAGAACGCTGGTTTTTGTGAGCTGTGATGCAGAACGGCCTTTTTCTCCAAAAAGCCATATCTGCTCACTCTAAAAGCCAGGGAAAGTGGTGCCGTTTGCGCCTCTTCTCTTACCCTGGGGACTCCAGGGCTCTCGGCCGCTGCCGCTAATGGGCAGAGAGCGGAGATTCGAGATTGAAACCGATCCTGCTCTCACGCCATTCCCGCACGGATCCTTTTCTCCCTTGCAGATGCTAGCCTCATTCCTCACATCCAGCTGGAGTTTCACCGCATCCCTTGGAGTTGTGTTTGCCCTCTCGGCAGAGGGATCTTCCCTTCCCGGCCGGTTTTCCGTAGGGTGCTGCACGAGGTGGGAAACACGAGGGCTCAGAGCCGGCTTTTCCGAACCGGCCTCCTTTAACATCTGGCCTTGGAGCTCCAAGGACATCCTGGGAATGTTCCCCGGCTCTGCAGGGACAGCAAAGCCCGTCGGCTCGGGAAGGGCCAGGGGAGACGCCGGGGAGACCTCGCGCTAGGGCCTATCTGCAAAATATTCCCATTTTGGAGGGGAGGCAGGTTCCTTTCTCAGCAATAGGGAATCCTGGGGGAATGCCAGAACCGGCAGCCTATTTTTGGGCTCTTTTGTATACAGTAGCTCCTGCAAAGCCCTTGCAGCATTAACCCTCTAGATTTCCCGGGATAAACAAACCCCGGAGCGGACGGCTCCATTCGGGCACACGAGACAACAACAGGAGTTGTTTTTTTTTTCTAGTTATTTCGGCCCCTGTGCAGATGCTTCTGCTTTTTGCGATGTTATCACCTCCATTTATAGGCATGTCCTAATTTCCTTGCGTGCTTTGGGCTGGAATGTGTTTTTCCTTCGGGATGGGGGAGGGAATTCCTTATCAACAGAAGGGAAAACTGACCTTCACCGTTGTTTTTGGAGGCAGCAAACCGAGCAGGCTCCCCTCGATGCCACCCTGCAGGGACATCGTGCTGGAAGGGCAAGAGAGACGTAATTAACTTGGCTGTTTCAGGAGCCTCTTTTGGGGCAGAAAGTGGTTATATACCCATTTTCCCTACCAGAGAACTTCAAGCACTTGGCTCTGCATCTGCCTAGGAACGAAGCCACGTTTGCAATTTCCATAAGCGAGGCTATCACCTTTACATAGATTAATTACATCAATTTTGATGCTGCAGATATTGGAGGCGGGAGCTGCCTGTAAACGGTGCCTGCTCCGAGGTGGGAATAGCAGAGGCCTCCGCATGGTTGTTCCCAGCTGTTCCAGCCGCAAAAAGCAACATGAGGTTTCTCTTTAGCAGCGTTTTAGCATTTTCCATCGCTGCTTTTTGTTAAAATCCGGCAGGAAATCCAACTAAAACGGGGCCTCACTGCCGGAAAGGTGCACAAATGATGGGATTTCTTGAGCTAATGTCATCTGCCGGCCTCCGGGGCTGAACTCAGCCTCTCCTTCGGGCAGGAAATTTTTGGCTGGGAGATACCGACTTGTTCCTATGGCAACCGAGACGGTGTCAGGGATCCTTGGGTGAAAACCGGAGCGCTCGCGGCTCCGGCGCCGCGACCGGCCGAGGCGCGAGCACCGATTTCGCACCACTTGCAAGTGGTTAAAAAAACCTAAGGCGACTCGTTTTGCTATTAACTTCTCTGAGGGGACAAAATATTTACTTGCAAACGTTGCTCAGATGTATGTTTTTTCCAAAGATAATGTGCAAGTAGGATCTGTTCCCTTGCCTCTGTCTCCTTTGGTTCAGGGATCAGAGGATGCTGCTTCCAAGGCCTGAAAGGCTAAAGAGGAATGTGAGCATCACCCCCGCTCCAAGAGCCTTTGATTTTAGGATGAGCTCCATGAAAATGGCTTTGCAGAGGTAGCCTCTGTCCTCTGGGGCAATTTTGGCTGCATTTGCTAATGCATGGGGGAGGCCTGTTGCAATATTAAGGAGGGAGGATGGTGTGTTGGCTGGGGAAGGAGGAAAATCCCGATTCCTTGGGGAATTTGCTGCAAGTTGAGTATATTTATCTCCCTGTTTGCGCAGTCTGTCTCAAGGAGGACTCTTAGGTGGCCGTTTGAGGGTTTTGCTTATTCCAGCTGAAGCTCGGAGCCCGTCGCGGAGGCTTAGACACAGTTATTATCACCCTGAATAATGCATGGCCTCGGTGGAAATCCTGGGATCAGGGATTTGTGGAGAATTCTTCCTGATGGACATCGGAGCCGTCATGACGTACCCCAAACCACACAGAGAGGCAGCCGGGAGCCCAGTTTTCTCCTCCCAATCCCAAGATCTTGAAGATCCCCTGAAGACAGAAAAGGACGAGCAAGTCGGAGAGGGAAGGTCTCATGGAGATGCTCCTCTTCTAAATGCACCTCCTAAGACCTGGAAGGTGAAATTCCACCTTTGCTGTCGCGTTTATCGGACAGCACGGATGCTTAGGAGAGCTATTGACGTCCTTACGGCGTTGTGCTCCTGTGGCTCACTCCTAACGTGCATTTAAAGCAAATCCAGCGACCGAAATCCTCGTTGAGAGGCTGCTGCCGGCCCCAAGCTCATGGATAACGATGGAAGCGCCACGGGGAGGTTGTTTCCCTGCCAGAGCCACCCCTGGGCGAAGGAGACCCGACCCTGCAGCAAGTGATTTAGCACCTTGCTGGGCCGCTTGTGCTCATGATTTGCAGCCTGGTGCTTGCAATTTGCATAAAGGGAGTAAAAATAGCGGCAATTACTGAGGCTTCTCCATAGCCTGTCTCCAGCGCGACGCCCCGCGCGATCCCAGCCCCCTGTTCCCGGAGCTAACCGGGAGAAAAGCTGCTCTCCGCCACCGAGTTGTTTGCAAAGCGAAGGTGCCAAAATGTGCGTTCTCCATCCAGTGACTTTTCCCCTCGTGCCATTCCCATTCCAATGTTCAGTCCTTTTACTGTGTGGCAAGAGCCTCGCGCTTCCACAAGGGACGGGATGGGGACTTGGGTTGCCTTAAAATTGGCGCCGAAGGGATTTGTGTCCAGCCTCTGCAGCCGGATGCCGGTGATGCCTGCGATGCCGGGCGCTTGGCTCCGCTCCGGAACGATCCTCTGGATCCTCTGGCAACGCCGCGGTATTTTTAGCTGCCTCCATCCGACGGTGCCGTAAGCACCTGGCCTGCAGCCACCGCTACCTTGTGGCTTCGTTATCCCTTCGTGCCTTGGATGGGGGAGCTCCTGGGACCACGGATGGGGCCTGCACGGCTTTTCCTTAATAAATCCAAGGGCTAGCAAGGAGCGGGATGAAGCTCTGCTGACAAAACCGTGGGCAAAATGCGGAAATTTGGATCTGTCCTGTGCTAACGAGCTGGGCTGGAGGGAAAACCACCCCTGGAGACTGCAAGGGAGTCAGGAATGGGATGGAATCCTTTTCATCCCGCCTCGCACGGCCACGCGCAGCCTCGCCGGTGTTTGTTCAGGCAGCTCCCTGAATGCAGGACTTTGCTCAGAGCGACGTGCCGCAGCGGGACAAGGGCCGGGGACAAGGGCCGGGGACAGGGACAGCGGTGGCGCGCGCCGCGTCCCGGCAGCGCGTCGGGTTCCCTCGCGGCCCGGCCTGCGCCCAGCGATAAGCCGCGTCCTTCCTCCTCGGCCTTATTTTTGGCGCCGGCATTTGAAGGACTCGGAAAGTCCGCCCGGGAGCCTCCTGCTTGGAGCCGTGCCTGGGCACTGGGAAACCTTGCAGGAATTCCCGCTAACGAGCCCGTGTCCCCCACTCGGGAGATGCTTCCTCATCCCCTTTCAGGCATCTTTCGCCTTTCCAAGGGATCAGATCTGTTTCTGTTGCTGCTGCTGAGATGCCAGGGGAATAAAAACAACTTTTCCGAGCACGTGAAACCCCTGATGTTGTTTTTCTGTTGGTTCACGTTGTCTTGGTGTCAGGCAGGAGGTAGGTCCTGCGTCTGCGGGGCTGCTCCGGGCTTCTCCGGGTCCTAGCATCTCTCTCCCGCTTGCAGGAGTCCGAGTCGGAAAACAAGCTCGATGGGGAGACGGCGTCCGACAGCGAGAGCAAGTCGGAATTCGGAGGCTCGGCCCCGGTGCCCACGTCCGACGACACTCCGGAGGTCCTGAACAGGGCCCTCTCCAACCTGTCCTCAAGGTAGCGCGGGGCAGCGGCCTCCCCTGCCGCTGGGGCCTGTGGAATAGAGGGAAAATCCACCTGGGAATGTCCTCCGTGGGCTGCTCCGCGGGAAGAGCAGCTACATGTAATCATCACCGTTTTGGTGAGGCTTTGGGCCGCTCTCTAACCTCTTTCCTCCTCTTCCTAGATGGAAGAATTGGTGGGTGAGAGGCATCCTCACGCTGGCGATGATCACCTTCTTCTTCATCATCATCTACCTGGGGCCCATGGTGTTAATGATGATAGTAGGTGTCCCCGAGAGGTGGCTGGGGTGGGCAGCGGGGCCCGTCGCTGGTGCAGGAAGCTCAGAGCCTCCTCTTCCTCCTCCCCGAGGAGAGGAGCGTCCGAGCGGGACGTGTTACAGCTCCCTGCTGTCCCCGTGCAGGTGATGTGCGTCCAGATCAAGTGTTTCCACGAGATCATCACCATCGGCTACAACGTGTATCACTCGTACGACCTGCCCTGGTTCAGGACCCTCAGCTGGTGAGTCGGTGGCCGCTTCCTTCTCATGCTCTTCCTCTCGTGGTGGAGGAGGTGCAGGAAGGGGATCACTCACGGCCTCCAAACAGGAGACCACAGGGTGGGAATTGCCTTCCAACCTCTCAAATGGAGACCACGGGGTGGGGATCACTCACGGCCTCCAAAATGGAGACCATGGGGTGGGAATCACTCACAGCCTCCAAAACGGAGACCACGGGGTGGGAATCGCTTCCCAACCTCCAAAATGGAGACCGTGGGGTGGGAATCACCTCACAGGCTCCAAAATGGAGACCACGGGGTAGGAATCACCTCCCAAGGTCCAAAATGGAGACCATGGGGTGGGAATTGCCTTCCAACCTCCAAAATCAAGACCAAGGGGTTGCTGTCAGCTTTCCAGTGTTGGGTGTTAGCAGCTCCTGGAAGGAAAATGTTCCCCATGTCCCAGTAGATTGATACCTTGCTAGACCCTGTCACGACAGGCTTTGTCCCGCAGTTTCCGGAGAGCCGCAATCCGAATGCTGCGACCCGTGTGGGTGACGCTGCGAGTGGTTGTCGCCGCACGGACGCGGTCGCTCCATGGCGCGGGGCCTCATAGAATCACAGGATGCTGAAGGTTGGAAGGGACCTCTAGGGATCATCCAGTCCAACCCCTGCACACGCAGGGTCACCTAGAGCACGTGGCACAGGGCTGCGTCCAAGCGGGTTTGAAGATCTCCAGAGAAGGAGACTCCACAACCTCTCTGGGCAGCCCATTCCACGATCCTCGGGCCGTGGCACTCATGTTCAGACCATGGCGTCGTTTCCAAACGGGGCAGGATGAAGTTTGGGCCGTCACCTTCAGGGCGGCTCCTCACAGGGCTCAGACCTTGGGGATCAGCCTCTTTCCCCGTTTCTCCAGAAAGCTTTTAGGATTCTTCCCAACAGACCTGTGCCTCCACCCGCAGGTACTTCCTGCTCTGCGTAAACTACTTCTTCTATGGCGAGACCGTCACGGATTATTTCTTCACCCTGGTGCAGAGAGAGGAGCCCTTGCGAATTCTCAGCAAATACCACCGCTTCATTTCTTTTGCTCTGTACTTGACAGGTAAAGACCGTGTTTTCTGCTGGAGGGAGGAAATCTTTGTTTCTTGAAATACTCTTCTCACGAGCGTCCATCCGATGCAGTATCCGTAGCGTGTCCAGTTAACGTGGTGAAAGGAAGTTCACGGGGAGGGAAAAGGGAAACCTCTCTGGAAAAGAACCCTCTGATTCGCTGGGGATGATCAGCTTGATTTGCAATCTGTTCAAGTGTTATTTATAGGAAATTGTATTTTGTGGCTTCCAGAAAAGCCCATTTCCCCACTTGACGTTGCTGCTTTGCTCAGAATAAACCCCCCTGTGGAGCTGTGCGCTGTCATGGGGAGAAGAAAGCCTTTCTTTCTGATGAAAATCTGTTCCCATCGGTTCATTTTTCTTCTGCTTCCCACCAGGTTTCTGCATGTTTGTCTTGAGTCTGGTGAAGAAACACTATCGCCTGCAGTTCTACATGGTAAGGTTGAACCCAGGGGCTGGCTGCCCCTGCTCGGAGCAGAAGGATGAATAATATAGGTGCTTGTGTAGGGGAAAAGGTGCCAGCAGAGGCTCCTGTGCCACTGTAATTCTGCCTGGAGGGAAAATTGCTGGGAGCAGACTGAGTGTTTAGGAAGGTGGCCCTGATCGGATTGCCCTGGAAACATCAATTCTTTCTGCGCTTGAGGATGCTCTTAAGAAACTCTCTGCAAGCTGAAATGACCGCACGAGACTAACTGGTGGTGGGTGCATCACCACGAGGGCTAATTGGCTCCTTTTCCAAACATCCGTAGGATCTCGCTCGTGTTTGGCCACTGGCCCAGCTAGGTTCAGCGCACAGGGACACAGCTTGGGCATCCTCAGCCTTGGGCTCTCCCAGTGCCAAAAAGCGGGTTGAGATGTGCGGGATGGGCGGGCTGGGGAGCACCCGGAGCAGCAGGAGTCTTCCCAGGGAAGCTCCCCGCTGCCTCCAGAGCGGCGTCTCCGTGCAGAGCGGGCTCCATGCTGCCTTCTCTTCCAGTTTGGATGGACCCACGTGACGTTGCTCATCGTTGTGACCCAGTCGCACCTCATCATTCACAACCTCTTTGAAGGAATGATTTGGTGAGTCGCTGCGGGTTCGGCCTCGCTGCGATTCCTGCAGCTCCACGTGGCTTGCTGTACTTCAGATAAGACAGTTCTTTCAAAAGAAACAAACGGCCATGATGCTTTTGGTTAGGGACTGCCCTGTTCAGGGTAAAAAAGCAAAAGACTGAGTGACACTGCAGTGAGGTAGGACTCACTTTGTGCTACTTGGGCTGTACAGAGCGCTGGTCTGGAGCAGCATTTGTTTTCCCAGCTCTCTTACCAGCACGCCGTGTGTTGCAGAAGGAAAGACTGGGCTTAAAACAGGCTGTTCTGGTGCTGGTTGGTCTGGAGTGTTGGCCTGACACCTCCGTGTCTCCTGGGTGGTTGCTCCGGGTGTTGTGAGATTGCCCTGGGCAGGGGGGTGTACATGGGAGAACACTCGGGGAAGCTGTTGCTCATCCCGTCAGGTCTGGAGATGCCCAGGATCTGGCGTTTTCATGTGCTTTGGTTCTCCTCCCCGTCCAGGTTCATCGTCCCGATTTCCTGCGTGATCTGCAACGACATCATGGCCTACATGTTCGGGTTCTTCTTCGGCCGCACGCCGCTCATCAAGGTTCGTGAAGTTAAACAAGAAGAAAGAGGGTGAAGAGGCTCCCGAGTAGAACAAGCAGCCGAATGCAAAACCTGGGGCTTCTTTGGGTCTGAAGCCCAAGGGCTCTTCCCTGGTCTCGTGCTCGAGGCCGTGAAGCAGAACGGAGCCTTTCGGACAAGGAGGGCAGCGTGAGGTTGTGCTGGAGCCCTCGCTCCTGGTTATTTTGTGTTTTGCCAATTTTTTGCACCGTTTTGTGCGTGCTCGAACAGCTTGCCGTGGAGGAAGGGCTGCCTAGTGCGTGTAGGGCAGAGCTTTTAACCATCTCCCTCTTCTCTCTCTTCGTCTGCAGCTCTCCCCAAAGAAGACCTGGGAAGGTTTTATCGGAGGGTTTTTTGCCACCGTTTTGTTTGGATTGCTGGTAAGTCCCGAGCACTTTACTTCATTGCTCTTTTCCCTTTATAAGGTGACAGTGTTTTGTCCTCCCAAAAGCAGGCGAGCTTTAAACTCTTCTATTTAGGACCAGAGCACGAGAAGCAGCAGCTTGCTTTCCTTACACACACAGTTGCAGTGAAGCCTTTAACAGGATAGGCAGCCGTGAGGTCTGTGTCATCTCGGAGTATTAAAATATTCCTGTTTTTATGAGCATCTCTGGGGCTGGTCGCTGGCCGCTCCGCCAAACGGTGCAGCCTGTCTCAGCCTGAGGCTTGCTGAACAGATGCACTTCTTAAAGAAAATGCTTACTGTGCCTTCAGCCAATTAATGCTTCTCAGGAGGGTAATCTGCTTAATGAAGCCGGGGCCGTGGCTCCCTCCTCGCCCGGTCTCCTTGGGTTGGACCTGCTAATCCTCCTTTCTCTCGCCGCCTCTGTGTCTCCTCGAAGCTCTCGTACGTGATGTCCGGCTACCGGTGCTTCACCTGCCCCGTGGAGTTCAACAACGACACCAACAGCTTCACGGTGGACTGTGAGCCCTCCGAGCTGTTCCAGCTGCAGGAATACACCGTCCCCGCGGTGCTGCAGTCCGCGCTCGGCTGGGTAGGACGCTGGCGGGAGCACTCTGGAAAGGCTGGTTTTCCTGGGATGGAGCTTTAAAGCTTCTGTGTGGCAAGAAATGGAGGTGCTAGACCCAGCTAAGAGGGGGATTAACGGCGTTCCCTGTTAGTGGAAGTCCCAGAGGAATTGGCCCAAGTCTGGTGGCTTCAGTCAGTTGTGAACCAAGTCCTGGAGAGGACGGGGATGGGGTGAGCAGTGGGCGAGATGGTCCATGAGCCGTGTCACAGCTCCCTGCTGGACAGCCTGGATTTGCCCTGAGCTGCATGTTGAGACTGCAGATAACCTTTACCTTTAGAGGTGAGGAAAGGGCATTTGCAGAGGCCCCGTAGCATTTTCCTATCTCTTTCCCCATTTCGGAGGAGTTGGCAGTGCTGTGCACTGTGAAAATCCTCCTCTGACGTGTGTATCTGTCTGTCCATCCGCAGAAGACGGTCCGGATGTATCCCTTCCAAATCCACAGCATCGCCCTGTCCACTTTCGCCTCCCTCATTGGGCCCTTTGGAGGCTTCTTTGCGAGTGGATTTAAGAGGGCCTTCAAAATCAAGGTAAGGACACCCCCCTTCTCAAAGGCCAAGTTTGGATGGACTCAGACTGTCCATCAAGAGTTGCTACCACTCTATAACATCCCTCTGCTCCAATGAATCAAAGGCTGGGAGCTCTGGGAGGGAAGAGGTTTGTTCTGCAGCAAAATACCATGGGGAGGCCCAATCCGTTTTTCCTTTTGAGTGAACGGGTGAGGAGAAGGATCTTACAAATCAAACTGTGATATTCTAAACTCTGTTTTAATGCAGAACTTGAGTTACAGGAACAAAGACTGAGTCAGGAAATTTTGCAATCATCGGGGCTTCCCTTGTTGTTTTGTATGTAATGTTTTACATATAAACACTCTTCTGTGCAGCTAAAATACCTTGAAAGTCAGGAGAGGGGCACAAGTGACAAACATGAGCCTTCCTCAACCCTGACAGATCTTAGTTAAGTCTTGATGTCCCTCAGGTGCTAATGGCTTTCAGAAAGGAGAAACGCTTCCAGCTAGGGGACATATTGAGCCAAATTAATTCTTGGGCGACTTTTATCTTCTCAGAAGAATTAGAGCGTGGGTCTGAGCATAGAGCAGAGACGTACGTGGAGCAAGAGCAAGTGCTGGGTGTTTGCGCCCGCTCAGTGCAATCCTGTTTTGTGCAGGACTTTGCCAACACGATCCCAGGCCACGGAGGAATCATGGACCGCTTTGACTGTCAGTACCTGATGGCCACCTTCGTTAACGTGTACATCGCCAGCTTCATCAGGTACCTGCTGCCTCGTGGTGAAGGTTGAGGGCCCTGGCACACCGGCTTCCAGTTAGAGACAGTTGTTGTCCCTGTGGGATTAACAGGGGCAAATACAAGGCAAAGAATGAGAGGGGAAATGCAGGCTCCAAGAAAGGAAGCCTCTTGCCAGGGTCGTGCTGAGCTGGGAATGCAACCCTTGTTTCCCAAGCTGGGTTATTTCAGCCCCCCTGAACTGCTCCGTGTTCCTTATGCCCCCCGTTGGGTCTCAAACAGAGCTCATTGAGTACAAAAATCCATTTTTTTTGCATCATACAATAGTTGTGTAGCCACGCGCACGAGGAATAGGAGCACAACTGCTATTTTAAGACATTATTTGGATCAAACGGGGTTCCCAGAGCGTCGAGGCCCAGCAGCAACTCACTGATGGTGCCGCTTTGTGTTTCAGAGGTCCGAACCCGAGCAAACTGATCCAGCAGTTCCTAACCCTGCGGCCCGACCAGCAGCTCCACATCTTCAACACGCTGAAAGCGCATCTTGTCGACAAGGGGATGTTAGGTGGCTTGGAGGACGCGTAGACGTCCGGGCAATTGGAACAGGACTGAGAACCAGACGAGTCTCCCCGAGGAAATTCCTGGCTTCTGCCTGATTTAAGACAATAACAAGGCCTCATTTCACTGTAACTTTTCTTCCTTTCTTGGTAAACGTTTGCTTTTTTTTTTTTAATATATTTATATGGCTTTGGTTAAAATGAACAACTCTGAGTTTGTAGCTGCAAAGGAGTTCGGCTTGGAAGGACGGTTGGGTGAAAAGGAGGGTCCAGTTGGACCTGGTCTTTGGTTCGATACCTGTGGGCAGAGCTGGACTTTTCCTCCGGGTGCTGCTCGCACAGGGACAACCCCGGCCCCAGTCTCCTTCCTCCTCCCTTGGCAGCTGGATCCGTCAGCATTCCCGACGGGAGCTCCGGGGACCCACGTTCTCTCCTGGCCTCCCATATTCGCCCCTATGGGGGCTGTTTTGGCAAATTCTAACCAGCAAAACCCCAAACTGGTTATGGTAAAGGCTTTGCACGGGGGGCAAGGAGTCAGGAACGCAGTGGGTGCTGTAGGAACGTGGGAGGTTCAAATTGCCTCAAAACTGAATCCGAAAAAGGTATTTGAAGGAACCAAGTTTCCCCGAGTAGCTCCTACCAAGCAAGAACAACCATCTAAATAATCTGGCTCATTCTTTTCCTCCCCATGTAGTCTTTAAGAAAGCAACATTGAACCACACGTCACGTCTTGGAAACCCTGGGATGTTTCAGCTCCCGTGGAGAGCAGGTTTCCCCGGAGTTTCTTGCCTGACATTGGCACGCCGGGGCCCCGGCACGCGCCGGGGCTGCCGGTTGTTGTATTTTTTCTTTCAGGGATCATGTCTCTCACCTGTTTGTTACTTGAGTTCTAGGTGTCGTGCTGCTGAGTTTATCATGGTCTGCGTTGCACTTCAGCCTGGCAGGCTGCTGCCCTGCTTTGCTTCCCAAATCTCGTCCTAACTAGGTTGCACTCAATAGCTGGAAGGTTTATCTGCATACTTCCCTTTATTTTGTCATACTTTCTTTTTTATTTTTTAAAAATGAGCGCCCTAAAGATTGTAAATGTTTTTTTTGGTGATCAGGTAGTGAAAACATCCCCGGTTTATGCTAGCCATGCTCAAGGTGACTGATTTTACTCCTTTCCGTAGCTTGTGCACGAGAGAGAGAAACTTTTCCTTATTTTAACCTGGCAAGTGAGTGGCAGGCAGAGGTGATACAGCCTAAATACACTGGTGTTTTCGAGTAGTTGCTGCCATAAACCTTTCACCCGTGCAGACAGCGACACGTGCACCCTCCGAGCTAGCTCAGCGTCGATGCAAAATAAAATGCCTAAAAATATTTCATCTTTTACGCTCCATATTCCGACTCTGCCGTTGCTTTCGTTCCCCTGGAGCGAGTGTGAGCGGTGCAAGTGTTTGCACAGATGCCATCTGTCTCTCTCGTGTTTCTGTGTGACCCTTCGTGTGTTGCAAGCGCTGCTTCGGCTTTGGGGTCTGCTCAAACTTAGGTTTTCGGTTGTGATTTGCTGGGCAAAGTGAGGCCTGGGGATGCAGGCGAGGACTCCCAAGATGGGGAGCGCACATGGAAATGGCAGGGTTTTCGGTAGGACTTGGAAAGTAAAGCTGCGGTGTCGGCAAATACGAAAAAATGATAGATAATAGAGCATTTTCCCTGTGGCTCTCTAGTGTCCTGCTGTTGTTGTTTTGCATTTTCTGCATTTCTTATCAGTTGTGGCTAACGAGGCACCAAGCACTGGTGCTTTTGCTCTGCGGTGCAGCGGGGGCCTCCTTGCAGTGCTGGCTGCGGACGCTGGAGGGCAAAGCAGCCGCGTGCGGAGCCGCAGGAGCAGGAGGAGGCCGGGATTTTCGCCAGGAACCTGCGGCTTTTTCCTCTTCTTTCCGCTTTTCTTCCTAGCAGCGCAGAGCAAAGCTGCGTGCGAGGGGTTGAGCATCCCAGCACGACGGCGCCGCGGTTCTTTGCGTTGTATTGAGTCTTGCAGACGCTCGGCCGGGCCGTCGTGCCGGGACGGTGGGTTTGGAGCGAGATCCTCCTGCCTGGGAGGCAAAATGGAGGGAAATCAAGTGTTGGGAAGGACGGAGAGGGACCACGTGCTGGGAAGCTGCTTCCGTAGGGCTGGCTGGCCCGGTGAAACGGCACTGGATGGGGGTGGTAGATGAAGGGTGTTGGGGGACACGGTCTGGGCTCTGCTCTCGTATTGCCAGACGTGTCTAGACAAATTCCCGGCATGCCGGGATGGGAATTGGCTTCCCTGTCTCTGTTTGTGGCCCAAATGAGCATGCGGAAAGTGAGTAGAACATTAAAACCCCAAGGAGGAGACCAAGCCGTGCTGGGAATTGCCACCGTCTCCATACATCCACGTCGGGCTCCTTTCTTACCCCCCGAAGTATCCCGTGGGATCGGCTGTGCTCCCCGCCCGCTCCGGCAGCCCCGAGCCGCCTCCGCTGCCGAACGCTCCGTGTGCTCCCTGCTCCGGGCGGCCGCGCTGACACCATCGGCTTCTCTCTCTGTGCATCGTTCTTCTGATTCACGTTTTAGCTACACATGTAGAGTTGCCTTTCTTTGACCGAATGTCCGAATGTGATATATTGTATATTTTAAAAGTATTTACCCTATTTATATACTATATGTTACTGTTAAATAAATATAAGTTCCATTATCCGTAGGGGAGTTTTATTTGTCGCTGCGTGCCAATGGGGCAGAGCTGCCCAAGCTGGTTTGAGTGGCTTGGGTAAAACTGCTTTCTGTTGTCCATGGGATAGGCAGGGAGACTCCAAGAACCCTTTTTCCAAGCTTTTTGAAGGCGATTGCTCAAGGAGGGACCCTGGTGGCTGTGGGGAGCAGTAAGGACCAACCTGCTGTGGTTTTGGCTGCTCCAGGTCCTGCCTCATGCAGCACGTTGGGGTTAGGTGTGAACTGGAGGATTCCTCTCTGTTAAACCTCTTCCCTCCTCCCCAGGTTGGTTTGACCCGGCCTTCGGTTTCGCTTCATCCCTGGCCTTTCTCCGGGTTCTCCGTCAGCCCCAGCTCCTGGGCCGCATCCTGGGCCTGCAGCATTCCCTGCCCATCCCGGGCCGTGGTTGGAGCCGGGAGCCGCCTTGGAGCCCCCTTTTCCAGGGCTTTCTGCAAAGAACGGGCCCTGGGGAGCCCCAGCCGTTCCCGAGTCACCACTGCCAGCGCCAGTCCTGCCAGGGCCCATGGGGCGCTTGGCTTCCCAAGGGCTTTTCCAGGCACTTTCCATGGTCCTTCGGGCAGTTGCTCACACGAGGCAGGGGTGCTTTGCCCCGGCGGGTGTCGTGAAGAAACTCAGGTGGAAAAAACCCATCAAATTGCATGAAACGCAAGAGCCGAAATGTGGAAAAATGCTGCTAAATTCCAGCGCCCTTTGCTAGGAGGAAAACGGGGGTGGCCCGTGCAAACCCCCCGGCCGGGTTGGGAGCCCGGGGCGGTGTCACCAGGGCGTCCCCGCGTGCAGCCCCCGGGGCACCCGGGGCA